GAATATATATATATATATATATATATATATATATATATATATATAGCGATAATTAAAAATTATATAAATATAATTCTAATATATATCATTCAATGTCTTCAATATCTCACTTCGATAATTCTCTAATAATGAATTTCTTAATTTAAAAATTCAGATAGTAAATCGATACACAAATTTGTCAAATAAAATCACGTAATTTTTAACTTCCACAACTTTAATTTTCTAAATTTTAACTCTCAAAAAGTTTGACTTTCAGAATTTTAATTTTTACTACTTTAATTTGTCAATTTCTTCAGCTAAATTTTAACTAAATTTTAATTTTTGCGAATTCAATTTTCAAAATTTTAATTTTCACAATTTTAATTTCCAAGATTTTATTTTTTTTTTTTACACTTTTAACTTTCACATTTTTTAACTTCTACAATTTTAACTAATTTTAACTTTCCCAATTTCTACTTTCTTCTACTTCAATTTTCACGTTTTTTAACTCCACTTCAATTTTTCAATTTCACTATTTAAAATTACATAATCAAAAAAAATATCTGTCTATCGATTCATCTTTAATTTTCAACAACACTGAATTTCCCTTTTCTCTTTCAAAATTTAAAAAACTTTATTTCACTTTAAACTTCAAAATACAAAAATTTCTCTTCACTTATATATCTTTAAAACATAAAACGACTAGTATCACACTAGAAATAAGAGGAAGCGATCAGGATGGCTTTTATTATTCTCTGACTAAGTACAATGGCAGAGATGCTTCTCGATAGTCTTTTAGAGGGCCTGTGTCGAAATGGTTCCGCATCAGGGTTCCTTTTCGCGTTACACAGGTTTATCAGAGAAGGCAGACCCCTTGGTCAAGGATGGGACCCACTCAAAACCAACTTCGACCTCGTGGAATACCCCTTTGGTTCGATCGATGGATTTTATTTGTGCCTTCCTCGCCTCTCTTCTCCACCAACTAAAACGTGCCTTTTGTGCGCTTCGAAACGTGGCACACGCGTGAACGTGTGTTCGAACAAAGCTTTTATCGATTTTACGTCCGATTTCGTTTCCTTTCTTTTCTTTCATCACCTTCTTGCCTCAATAATAATATCTTTACACGAGATAATATCACGATCAAAGGGAAATTTAATATATCTATTGAAGAATATAATGATGTATCGAATCGATGTGAATTGGCCTGAAAGTTTAACCTCTCTTTTGTGCGCGCATTATAGGTTTTTGTGTGATTAATTTATTTTTCATGTAAATCTGTTTTATCGGCTGGTGGTAAAATTTTGGAGAATTTTTGTCGTTACGAGGATGAGTTACGTTAAAAAAATTGTGGGATTATCCAGTTTGTATTTTTTGATAAAATTCTGGGATTGGGCTGAATTATGGGATTAATTTGAATTTTTTGAGTAAATTTGCTTTATCTTTGTTATAATTTTGAATTATATAATTATTGTATGAATTTTAGGCATAGAATATTAAGAATAAATTACATGAAATATTATTTTTTTTATAAATATATGTATTTTATATTTTTCTTAATAATCTTATAGTAAATAGATATAAAAAACAAATAGGAAAAACTATCATAAAAATATAAACGTGCAAATATGTAAGAAATAACATAGAACGTGAAATAAAATCGAAAATTTAAAAATTTGCAATTTTTTGTAAACAAAACGTAGAAAAATAGAAAACTAAGTATTTAAGAAACTTTAATTTAGAAAAACGTTACTTCAGTTCACGATCTTCTTCTGTTAATGTTTCGAGAGATCCAACTTTCTAAAACACATTAAGAGATTGTGGATGTCCTCTTGCTGGAACAGCCACCATAGGATCTACCACCAAACTACAATTTCTCGAAAATCCTAAGCTAACCATTCCTTTCATACAAATGTATCCTTTGATGTACCTTTACTGATGAATCCACTTCTTTTCTTTATGTTACAGCGTCACAAATGTCATACTGGTATCTTGAATTTTCAAAATAAACAATTTCAACAGAAGAGATACTCGTTCAACACTCTTAATAATCAAATTGAAAACCACAAGACTTCTTCTAAATTTTTACTAAAAGTTTGGTTAAAATTGATAACCTCAAAAAATTTTTTTGACAAAAAATACATGGATATACTCGCACGAATTTATTAGAATTTTTAACGAGAATATGGAGAACTAATATACATTTAGGAAACCACGATTATTAAACATTCCAATTAAAACGAATCAATAAGGTTAATTGGTTCGCATAATTCTAGCTGAATATGGCGCGCTACGAAATGCGTGCGGTAAGTTATCGTGGAATGCAATTTATATTTAGGTAGGTAACTTTACTAGAACGATGTAATTCATCTCCGTTACAACTGTGATATCAGTGGTTGGCTTTTCGTTTGTCGTATAATAGTGGAAAGTGGAAATCCAAGGATTTATGCCGCAGGTATATATAGAGATATAGTTATGAATAAATATAAATACACTTATTGCTTTAGTATTAAAATTAAAAGTATTATAATCATTTCTTAGAATTATAAATTAAGTATTATATTTTTATATTATTTTTTTGTGTAAAAATGTGTTTACAAAAGACATTTTCGTTTTAATCCAATAATAATCTTATATATTATACTCTATTTTAGTTTAATATACTTCTATTTCAATTGATCAAGATGGACATGTTGATTGCATTTTGTGGAAATCCCACTTTCACTCTCATCGAGAAGCAACGTGTTCTAACTGGCTCTTCGAGTCTGGCCTGGAATTGTTGATCACCTTCGTCGGTCACTGGAAGTAATAAGTAAATACATGCGGTATTTCGTACACAAAGCGAAGGCATTCCACATCCAGTACAAGTTTAAGGACTTTACATGGCAAATTCCTCGCATCCAGAGATGTTTAGCCACGATAATCATTAGACCGAGCGTGAAATTGCATAATTTTCTGTGTACATTACGAAAATTACGATTAGAAATATGATTGAAAATGATTGGCGAATAACAAAAAGTTTTTTGGTCGGATTTTAATAATTTAAAAAAAAAGAAAGAATGTGTTTGTGATGAGAATCGATGCGAGAAATGACTAGAAATTAAGATTTCCTCGCTTTTTTATCTGACTTATTATCCATTTATCACAACTTATTATTCTACTCGTTTGACCAAACGATTAGCAATATAATCTACTGGCCGAATTAATGGTTGACCTATACCTCTTGTCTGGCCCAGCAAATGCTATTTATCTGACCAAATGATCGATATATTATCGATCTGACCAAAGGTTGACCTATACTACTTAATTGACCAAATAATTGAAGATGCAATATTGGTATGAACAATAATCGACCTGTATTATTTGACTGATTAATATATCATGATTAAGGATATACTACTGTTATGACTAATGGTAGAGTTATACTATTGTTTGACCGTAATTATCTTAAAATATTTAAATATTTTATTAAAAGAAAAGAATATTTCTTCAATTAATAAAAGAATTGAATAATTGTAATTTTATAGAAAAAAAAAAAGAATCAATTCCTGCAAGAAATTTTGCTGATCGATTATTTTAGTTTAATTTAAAAAAAGATCTAATTCGATTGATTAATTTTATTTAACTTAATTTATATGTTCATAGCTTAATTTCAAATCAATTTATAATTTGATTTTGATTTCTGCTGTTATCCATGTCAAGAATAATGCATTTAAATCTTGTAAATTATTTACAACAATTGTTTTGATCACATCAAATTTTTGATTGGAATTTTTAATATCGAATACTTTGTATGATGCATTGATATTAATCAAGAATTAATCAAAAATTAATTTTAATAATTTTAATAATTAAATCAGCAGTATCTTTGATCTTTGATTGTCAAACAGTAATACATTGTATATAGAAAAAGTTGATTTTAGAATATATCTGATTGTTTGTCATAAATTTAGAAATGACTAATAAATTTCCTTTATCTTCTATATTTTACTTATTAAATAAGATATTCAATTATGATCAAAAGAATTAAAATTGTAAATTCTCAGAATTAAAATGATATATTAATCATAAATTCGTATAAGATATTTCTTAATATTTTAAGCAATGGAAGGATTATATAGTACAAAAGGAATATATAATATTGATAAGCCTAGTAATACTCAGAATGTTTCATTGCTATCTACGTTGAAATAGGATAAATTAACGTTTAATTACGTTTAATCTGGGATGAATTTGTTATTCTTTTCATGATTATTCTCTTTGAGTTAATTTTGTGATTATCTTAAGGATTATGACTGTTGCAATTGTAAGGAATGATTTATGGTTGAATTTATGCAACGAATGATTTACAGTAATTCAACTGAAAATATTGTTATATTTGAAAATGAAAATGAAAATGCAATGGAAAACTTTATATATGCACTTATTTTTATCTCGAATGATTAAGAATATTCTATTTGTCTGATCAATATTTGATTTACACTATACTTTGTCATATAGTCATGTTTGAAACATAAATGGATAAAATTTAATAATTGAAGAATAGTCAATTTAATAGTTAAGAATAAAGTTACTTCAATAAGATCGATAATTTATTACTCAAAATATCAAATAATCATAAATAATATCATAGTGGCAAACTGAGATATATAAAGGCGAATCAACTATAATAATTATTAATAAACATTTCAAGCATTTTAATAACTTAATTACTTGAAATAATTTTATTCAAAATTTTTAATTTTTATTTTTTTAACAGATGTTTTCAACTCTGATTTAAAAATATAAAACTAGCGAGAAATGATTGACTTGTTCTACTTATTTGGTTATGCAATTAAGGATATGAAATTGGTTTAGCAAATAGTTGACTTGTACTACTTGCTTGGTAAGAATATAAAAGTCTTTTATTACTTATTTGATTAAATAATTGAAAGTATATAGTTTTATATTATGTCATAATATAATTAATATGATTATAATTTTTTATTAAGTAAACAGCTCTGAAAAAATATTAATTAATTAAAATGTATGTATTTTTTAAAATCAACATACAAGTCTGTTTATTTTCACATATTTGAACGTACAGAAAGTGGTAAATATGAAATTCAATACAAAATTATACCAAAAAGAATATATATTTTATGATATATTAGCCGTTATTGGGTATGGATTTAAATCAAACTGAGAGCAGACATTGACATTTCAAAAGGATAATGATCATAAAAGTTATGTCATACGAAATGAAAAGAGGAAAAATGGGGATTTGTCAATTCAGTGATTGAAATCCGATTGTAACGGCCATCATCGAATAAAAATTTGGTGAAAAAAAGTTATTTCGTTATTGAAGATATCGATAAATTATGCTGAAATATAAAATAAAAGTTAATATCTATTTTATACGCCTAAAAAATTGATGAAACGCATGCTGAAATGTTGCTAATTAATATTGAAGGTAAAATATATAGATTTTAATTTATGAGACAATTTATTCTTGCAGAAATATAACAAATATATCCTATTATGAATAATAATTTATATTATTTAATACACGTAATTATTAAAATTTTGTTTATTTAATATAATTAATTTGTTCCATTGTAACGTATATTTAATATTATTGTGCAAAGTAATTATTATAAAAATCATGAAAATTCTCAAAATTATTATTACAATATTTGATTACTCTTAAAAGAAAAAGTAACAGAATATAAATAATAATAAAAAATAATAAAAGTACACGTATACGTTACATGTAATGATTCTTATACTTGAAAGGAATTGTTTCAGTCTACAAAAGGACCAATATTCGCCAGCCTTTGAGTTTGATCGAAGAACGATAAAACATGTATCAAAACTCTTTTACATGTAAAATGTAATATATCCAGTCTCCATTATTGCCTCAAAGCAACTTGTACCAACATTTTCTATTTACATATATTTATCTTCTGTTTTCTTTCTTAAACATAATGAAAAACGTTCAAAAACTTCCATTTGTAAACTGTGACTGATGTAGTTCTTACAATCATTTTACTTTCAATTACTTAACAGATTGTATTCCATTCTATTTTTGGGATACGTTTTTAAAAAAGAAAACTTATTTTAGAAATATAATAGTCGAAATAATTACTTTGTAGAATTTAAAAAAATATAATAGATTAGAAACTTTAATTTTATTATAATAATTTTATATCAAATTAATATCATTTTCTTAGCTACATCTAATTTTTAACATCTTTATCATTGTGTATCTCTGCAACGAAAATTTTCTTTGCTTATTATTAAAAAAATTATAGTTAATTATATTATTCTTCAATTTAAAATTTGATTTATACTACTTATCTACTCAAGTGATCGATATATTACTTTCCCGACTAATAACTGACTTGTACCACTTGTCTGAACAATGCTCCTCCTACTACAATAACTTCCATAATTAAATATTTTCGAACAAAAAAGAGGAAGACTTTCTTCAGTTGAATTCCTCGAATAACACTAACTATCTATAGAAATATTACATTTATAATACAAAATATTTACTTTCTGATTTTCTAAATCAAATATTTTATTTTAAAGAAGGAAGGAATTAATTCGATCAGTAGATTGCAGATTTATGCATTTATGAAGAATTTTAATCTATAGAAAATCTATAGAATGCAAAAAAAATTCATAAAATATTCAAAACAAATTGCTCGACCACGAGAAGATTGTAAGAAAGATATAAATATTGGTTTATTATCTGATATCTTTCTTTTCGTAATTCAAAGAAATTATATTAAATCGTCTGATAAAGAAAACAAAATATGTGAACATATGTGAGTATAATTGAAACAAATAAAATGATGCTCTGATCATTTCAAAATATTGGCATAGACTTATAAGAGTATTAAGTATTCACAAAATAATTTATGAATATAATTATAAAATCCTATTATGTTAACAGATATATGGATTACAATAACATTAAGAAGATTAGACAATGTAAAGGAAGATTTCATTTTCCAAAACAATACATTGCTATAATATTAATATCTCACTTATATCACATGGATAAATTTAAGTTTTAAATGGACATAGAGAAGAGATTTACAACTCGAATCGGCTTCCAAACATTGAGATAGATTTATAAGAATATTAACTATTCATAAAATAATTTACTCACTACTATATCAATACGTTATGATAACGTTAAGAATGCAATGAAGGAAACGAAGATCTTTAATTTCCTCTCTACTAACCATCATTTCTCATAGATGAAAAAGTACATATTATGATATTTTAAAGATGAAACAAATTTCTATTTCAATACTATTTCAATATCTATAATTGTAAAAATTTTAATTTGCGAATAAAAATCTATTCTTTAATTATCTAATAATTTTATCTAACAAACTAAATTTGTATCTTTTTCACAGAACAGAAATTGTCGAAAGCATGACTCTACCTATATCGGATGGACACAAATTTAATTTTTAAACGGACAGACGATCCAGAAGAAAGACTAGTCCCAGAGAAGTAAGAAGAAGGAGGGGGAGGAGGAGGAGGAAGAAGAAGAGAAGGGTAGCTGATGGCTCGACGATATCTCGGACTCTCGAAACTTACCGGATAGACGAACTCTCCGCCAAACTTTCCTGCTCCAGCTCCTTGATAGTTAAAAGTTTGCACCAGCTTGGTGTTGATCTACTTCACCCACGCTCCGATTAATCGTGATTCCGTAGAACGGAGTGACTTAAGGAAGTAGCCTGTGCAATGTGAAAACGATAACATAAAGTAAATTGAAATAAAGGGAGGACGAAGATCTGCGCAGAATAATTATCTGCACGCGGTCATCCCATCGATAAAAACTTAAATGAATCGGATTAAATACATTTTTTATTATTAATTATTTATAAAAAGATACTAGATATTCGATTTCCGTGATTTTTTTTTTTAATATATTTAATAGGTTAATCACTCTGAGTGCTACCGTGGAAGTTTTACTTAGCAGTCTTGGATACAATTTAGGTTAGGTTAGATAATATTAAATTGGTTAAAAAAATCAGTTTTTATTTAATTATTTGATTCAAGACAACTGAAATTAAATGTAGAATCAATATAAATTAATTGATGTCAAATGAAAATTTATTTAAGTTTTTAAGTTTTATGATTTGCATTTTGGATAATTAAATTTTTTAATAATCAATGACTGTCAAAAAATATCTTCACAACAAAAGTATTAATTATAATATTTGAAATCAAAGATTAATACATATATTTATCATGTGTTTTTTTTTTTTTACCAAAAATATTTATCGTATAGTATAGTTTAAATTTGTAAAATTATGTATTTATGTAATATATTTTAATTATTTAAGTACAAGATAAAAGATGATTTTTTTTGACATAAGAAGCTGCAAATTGAAACATTGAAATTATCGATAATATCGAACGATTTTTATCACGATTAATATTTCTCGAATTCTAATATTTCTTCCACTATTTAATCACAAAGTGATAAACAAAGCATCGGATATTAACTATTTCATGTTTCTCTTCTCTTAAATCTTTTAAAAAATACTTCATCTTCAATATAAAGGAGGGAAAAAAATACGGAGTGAAACAATTCAAAAAGGATTCTCTCCGTTAAAACCCATTTAAATGCACACCGTTAAAATGCTAAACAAATGCAGAGAACGGCGAAACAGCCTAAAAGGGAGCAAGGGAGTGCGAAAAGGGAGGAGGGTGGAACGACAACAACCTTAGAATATGCTTAAATCTCCACTACGTCTTGGAGAGTTTAGCACGGTTCCCGTGCTGGAAAAATAAATTTTCGACCGGTCGACGAGCGTAAAGGGATTGAAGAGAAAAGGACGAAACGAATACAGGGCTGAAAAGAAGATAGAATACCGAGAGAGAGAGAGAGAGAGAGAGAGAGAGAGAGAGAGGAGGGAGGGAGGAGAGAGAGAGAGAGAGAGAG